AAAAAAAAAAAAAAAAAAAATGAAGTTCCTAAGTTTCTTCATTGATTATAGGAATATCTCCATTATTAGTTCAACATGCTGTAAAAATGTCATTTAGTCTGTCAAAAGCTGGTGCAACTTAGTATTTCAGCTCTTCATTTCAGGTGATTTAAGGCCAGTTCCTCTATGTGAATGCCTGAATGTAATACCTTTGGGTTCCTTTGATTAATGTTGACATTGACAAATGAAAACAAATGATGATATTTGAGTGGTATTTCTCTTTATATCTATACGCTGCTGTTGGACTCTGGTAGCAGCAGGCTGCACTTCCATTTTGCTTTAATAATTTGATATCTGAATGACAAAGTGATTTCCATTGGGTCAGGTGAAATGCTGGCAAATTAGACGGCAGACAAAAGCTCCTCAAGCTGCAGGGACCATCCATTCTGATTTTGAGAAAGGATTTATTTGCGCTGAGGTTGTCCCAAGTTCATGATTTTTTAACTTCACATCCAATATTTCTCTTGAGATGAAACATCTATCATGTAGTACACAACTTCCATCCTGCCAACGTTGCATATAAGTAGATATGCTTGTCCTACAATCTTAATGTATGCTGGCCATCCCCTTCTACTGCTTCTCAGCTGGGGATCCCCTCTAAGACAGCTTTACCTGCTATCAAATTTGCTTCCTTTGTATAGTTTCGTTCAAACAAAATTGAGCCCTGCAAAGACTAGTGCAAGCACCAAATTCTCCTCTTTGCAGTTACCCAATTGCTCCTTGCTAGCATCTCTGCACCCTACCACCTTCCATTCGTGTTACTTTTAAATGTTCAATGGCATTCAATAGCATGTGATTGACTTTGCAATAACTGCATGGAAAGTAGTAAAGCTGCTATTTCTGGATCTAATCATTTCTTGTTGATTCTTTAGGTCATGAAATTTGATGATCTAAAGGAACTCGGCAGTGAGTCGGCTGTTAAGGTATGCCCTCCCATCCCAAATTCCACATTTTCCCCAACACGTTTACTGTTACCCTTGCTGTTGTGAGGATCAGATTCTGAGAAGAATGTCTAGTTTATGAAATGAGTATATCCTAGGCTAAAAAGAGAAAAAGATTGCTAGAACTTCAGGGATCTATGTGAATGGCTGCTGCCTGCAATGAGCCTTGCCATATGCTAAAATAACCATTTTTTTCAGGGGCAAATTGCAATTTAGCTACTTATGGTTTGAGGTTGGTCACATACAGACCTGAAGTTTAAAAATGTGCACATAAAGTATCAGTGGTTTTGGGTATGTGCACATAAGGACCCAAGGTTTCAAAATGTGCACATAAACACCTTAGGTTTGCATTAAATTAAGTGTAAATAACCACTTGAGATTTTTTAAAATATCTTTAAGGTCCCTAACTTAAAAGAATTAAAAGAAGAGAAAATAATATTATAATACAAGATGGTAGCATTGTTCACAACTGGACCCTGCTGTGCCTTTTGTGCTTGTTTCGAGCTTATTTTACATTTATGTTAATTTTCCCTTTTCCCTACTTCCCCCATTCTGTTTTTTGTAGGCGGCTGGAAAATATAAACAGGAGGGAAAAACTTACGTGGTTCAAGATGGAGACGTAATATTTTTCAAGTTCAACGTTTCTGGGGGTGGTAAGAAGTGAGAACTATGTGTATCTTCTAGAAAGCTAAGGTCAATGTTACGAACTTTGTTGTCTTGATCAATATGAGTTTTCACGACACAACAGCAATATCTGTAACTTGTTTCTACATTTTTGTAGAACTCTGTTTCTTGATATTGAATTGAAGCATACACTTGATTTACTTGGTATGTGTTGATGTATTTTTGGAACAACAAAATTTTCCCTGGGATACTCAATCTTCTAAATGCAAACTTAATATAATCATGTTCATTATCTATATAATACGTTTTCTTTGACGATTTGAAGTGAATGTCGACCAGAAACAAAAATGTATGGGATTCAAATGAGTGGGTATGAGGTTCCCAGGCAATTGTGGTACTCATAAACTAGCTGAATGTCGGTATTCAGTCAAATTACACGTCAATGGCTGGGACTGAGGGTACGAATGGAATGCATTCAATGCTTACTGTACAACAATGATCAATGATAGTCAACACGGGGTGCACTGGCAAACCTTTCCCATCTAACAATAATTGAATTAGTAGCCAAACACTTTATTACTCGAGTATTGATTTGCTTTTGTATTTCCTCGTGAACAAGAAATCTAAAATGGGAAATGATATTTTTGGATGTACACAATTAAAAATATAATTATTAAGTTAATGAGTTAAGTAATTTAATGATAATGTTTTTATTAAAAATAAAAACTTTTAAATTTAAATCATATAATTTTATAAATAAAATAAAATAAATAGGAGGTGAGATTAACAGGCTTGTTCGCAGATTTTTACAAAAATTCTACAACAACTTGAACATCAGGACAGAATCCAAAAGGGAGATAGATGCTTGTGACACAACGTTTCCAGTCCAGATAAATCCCAAAATGCTAATATAGACACTAGAATATCATAATCTTACTTGACAAATTCAACTTGATATGTTGATGAACCTCTATCGAACCCTGAAATTTCAAGCCTGGAGGTTGACTTCCAACTTGTAACGCTGCAATTTGACATGTGATCATACTCCTGAATGATCAACTTGTCCAGGACTAGAGCATGCCTCAACATAAATGGCTCGAGCTACTCAAAATACCACCACAGGACACGCTTGAACAACTCATTAAAAACCAGCAACTTCTAGTAGAAGAACTCCATTTCTTCTTTTAACAATCTCTGTGCAGCCTTGAGAGTCGGGTTAAAAGGAAGGCATCCAACCATGATGCCATGACACGCAAAACTCCGTTTTAAAACAACATCCATTCAGCTTTTACCAGATTACCATCCCATAGAAAATGTAGAGAAACATCTTACCCTGATAATTCAAAGCAACACTCCTCAACAAATTGAAACCATACCACAAATTATAAAG